ACAACTTGCCACTTTAAACTAAATTTCTGATCGATTAGGTGCAGTTTACACTTTGACAATGAAGAGCCGACCCAGCTCTTTGAAACGTCAGCAGTTAAATAAACCAGTTCCGGAGAGCCTATTTTCTTCTTCTAATAATCTTCCCGGATCTCTAAACTTTTCCAATCTGAGTATACTAGATTTAATTTTTACTAATGACATCCTCCTTTTATCTATGGATTTCCATCGGGATCTTTATGCAAGTCATCATGCATTAATTCATGGTTGTCTTCCAGTGTCCATTTCTGCAAAGTCTGCAGTAAAACGTAGTTTTGTGACTGCGCTAATATTAACGAAGAATTAATAAATAACTCTGCAGCGCTGTTAATTGGTACAGTATTTTTCTAGAAATGATCCATATGTTTTTACGATTTATTACAGAACATAAGATAAGCTCTGCTCGATCTCAATCTACTGAGGGCCATTTCCTCCACTGCCCCACATGCTCTTTAAAACAGAATTAAATAGCTGGAACCAGCTTAAAGATCCTGCCATAAGCTCATTATCGGTGCACCCAGGAATCGTTGAACTATTCAAATTAGCTTCGAAAATGAGGCTCAAACGAGATAAGCGTAGAGAGTCTTAAGCAATTAGAGATGCGAATACTTATGAATCTGCTGATAGAAGCAAACGGGCGAGTTTCAGGAGGCAGTTCCGAGTACGAAGATGCGATCACCGGAAAGAGAAATTTATCGGCATGACGTTTCGGATTCTCACCCGCACCCATTACCAGAAATAGTCGCAGATAAGGGCGATGGTGACACAAGGAGTGCAATATTTATAGCACATGGTTGCCATGGGACCATATGCGTACTGTAATTAACAGCTCTCGCAATCACTACTGGGATCGTAATTGATGCGATGATGGCCTATGAGTCCGCGTCCGCGTCGTTAACAGCCGCGATTCAACCATCCGTGTTGGACGATGGCGTGACGATTGCTCGGTAAATTGGTTCACCGTCATTGGGATTATTGCTCGCCAGCGCCCTCCCAAGGAGAATGATTCCCCTATCCAGAGAACATTTCACCACAGAATACGATAACGGGAGGTCATTGCGCTTGTTGATGGATTGCGGGCCTGAAAACCATGGCTCGAGCAGCTCACGGCTTACGCAGTTGTCACCCCTTGCAGGGATTTCGGCCTCTTAAAAAACTTAAAAATATTGCCGGGTCTCGTAAAATGAGCGGTCACCTGAGAGCTAACGTTTCCTCGCCTCACTGCTGCTGCGTGTTCGGCAATTCGCCTCCAGAGTAATCGCCCAGTTTCGCCGAAGTAGTTGCTTTGTCCGTAACTGCACCAGATCCGGTAAACGACTCCTGACATTTCCTGTCGTGGCAGTGGGTCTCTGGCCTCATGACTTGGCGCCTGTTGGTTGCTTCCGGCCTGTGTGCAACCCCAATTCCAAGTGGAGTAAGAAGACGACTGGCGGCTTTCAAGACATTCTTCACGTACGGAAGAACCCGCCAAAATTTGGGGCTGGTTGGATTTGGTCTCTCGTGTCGTTTTTGTATGCACTGGTTGGCAAACTTGCGCGGGTAGCCATTGGCTCACAGTACCCGTCGAAGTTATTTTGATTCAGCAACTTCGTCTTCCATCTCACTGCAATGCGTCTCAACGTGCGGGTGTAGCGCCCTTACACAACTGCGTTTGTGACTGATCAGGTGGTTGCTGTTGATGTTAAGTACTTGCGTCACAATTGTCGCTTTCCTGAACATGTTGGTTTTTAGGCCACCGCGCGAGATTAAAGCACACTGTTGACAATGGAGAAGTCCGGTGTTATATTGCTAATTGATTGACGCATGGCGAGGGTCACGTGCCATAAATACTAAACTCCTTGTACAACCATCACCCTTATCTGCGACTGTATCTGATGATGGGCACGAGTGAGAATCCGAAACAGCATGCCAATAAATTTCTTGTTCCAGTGCTCGCATCTTCGTCTTCTGAACTGCTTTCTAGAACTCCCGATGTGCTGTGATCGGCTCGACGGTGGGAAACCTTTGCCCTTCCAGAGTCGTGTACACATGCGCAGAATCGGTTTCTGCACAGGTGTTTCGACAATAATGTGTTGTCGAAGTGTGTTTGGTATAAACCCCCGGTTAACAGACAGCAGGTGAGACGCGCTGTGCTTCAGCACGGTGAACGAATGGTCCGAGTGCTTCTTCAAGACTGTCACGCAAAGATTCGCAAATACCGTCAGAGGATTGACTAAGAGAAAGCACGTTGCTGTCAGTTCACGGGCTGGGACGGTATAAAACTGCATCGGCAGAGGCTGGCCGAAAGAACCTGCGAACATAGAGCGACAGGCGCAGCAGCACTAGAGAGCAAATTTCGTAAACTGCCTGCTCCAATGTCATCCAAGAACAACAAACTGATGCAAAACTTGACGTCAAAGGGGCTGATGGAGGAACAGATGAAGGTTTTACGGTATGAGACCCCATTTAACACAGCCGACGCCAAACCCGCCAAAATGATTGCAGCAATGAAGCCAATCCTCGAACAGATGGAAGCCACAGAGGAAGCGAAAGAACATTATTTTACACCATGTGTCATCGCTCCTCATGTCTCGTAGGCCGTGAGACGTGCTTCCCAAGGTCGATCGCGATGCACTTAAGGAACTCAGGGTCAACGACGAGCCCGTTATCGTGCCTGCAGACAAGGGGCATTCCACGGTCGTATTGGACAGGACAGACTATATTCAGAAAATCAAACGCTTGTTGGAGGATCGTCAGTCCTCCGTCCCTTGCGAATCCAACCCCATAAAAAACTAGCATGCGAGATCAACGCAAGGCTGTTGGCAATGGAGAACTCAGGTGAAATATCGCCAATCGATCGACGCATGGCGAAAACGCAAGAAAGGGCCCTCGCCCGATTCTACGGTCACCAAAAGTGTACAAAGAGGGCGTTCATCTCCGGCCTATCGTATCACTAAAGGACCCTCCAAACTACAGACCGGCAAAGTGGCTGTTTCGACATCTCAGTTTTTGACTTCCGATCCGAACACCAAAGCTAGCTCGTCAACACAATTCTTGGAGAAACTTAAATGTGTAAGTCTCCTGCTAAGCGACGTCATGGTATCGTTTTATGTGACGTCCCTTTTTACTCCTATCCCACAGGACCTGTCAGCCAAGATCATCAAACCACTCCTATAAAAGAAATACGATGAAACGGAAAATGGCCTCGTACATACCAAAATCATCCAAATGCTGAAGTCCTGTCTCACGACTTACTTTGCGTTCGACGGAAAAATCTACGAACCGGTGATGGGCAAACCAATGGGTTCGTCGATTTCGGGATTCAAAACCGAGGTGGTCCTACAACGGTTGGAGTCACTGGCTTTCCGACACCACAGACCAAAATTCTGGGTTCGGTGTGTGAATTATACCTTCGTCGTCATCGAACGGCATCAGGTGCTGGTATTCGAAGAATATCTCAGAGCCTTCTTCCCAGACATTCAGTTTACACTGGAGGAGGAAGAACACAAACGGCTGGCCTCCGTGGATGTCCTCGTCTGTCACAACGATTGTGGTGACCTAAAGATCAAGGTTTAGATTTATTATGGCACCCCTTGGGGACTATCCGTCTCCTTTGATCTCAGGAAAAAACCTATAACAAACTCGACCATTTCGACTGCAATTTGACTTCATTTGCTTTGGACATCTGTTTAGTCAAAAGGGCACTAAACGAGAGTTTGTTTTCAGTTAAGAAAACCTGTGTCCTAAGGCAAAATAATCAAAAAGTTTAAAAAAAACGATATGTACAATATAAAAACTGAAGTATGCAGTTTGGCCGTTTTCGGGGCATGAATAATGTGTCCTTCATGGAAATTGAAGAACTTTGATATCGGTCTGACCTTGAAATTATTTTCGAGTCGAATAAACTTGGGGTTCATTTTGTAAAACATAAAGCGGATTGTATACGAGGTAGAGACCGGGGTCTGTCAATGTTGTTTGTGGCATTGTATAATAATCTATATTTATTTTAAGTGAGTGCTTTTCATATAGTTTCCCTCTTTTTTTCGCCTATTTTTTGAAAAAAGAAAAAATAAATTGTGTTCTTATGTATCCCTTCGGGCATTATCTAAGCAAGTAAGATGAAGTTTTAGGCGAATTTTAGAAGGAGTTTGCAAACTCCGTATAGAATTCTGTTCATGCTCATGAAAAACGGTTGGCGGGCGGTGAGAAAACCCCTTTTTCGAAAAAGACAAAGTGAACATGAATTGATTAGCCTTTAAGGAGAAAAAACTGCCACCCATGAAGGGGCAAATATGCAGGTCGGACAGAACTGGCCTGCATATGGCAGTGTATGGTAGATTCGAAAGGAAGAATTCCTAAACCGGATGACACTGTCCTCGTCAAAGTGGTGAGGCAAGAGGAAGCCAGACGCGGTCGACTACAGTCCACTTAGAGTTCAGCCGTGAGAGGAAATTCAAGGCTTAGGCGAACTTCAAGCCATAAGGGGGGAGATGCGACCCTGAGTCCTCCCTGCTGACCGACGAAACTGCTAGCAGGTGGCGAAAACATAGGAATCCGCCGTTATCGTCAACAGACTGCTTCGGGTCGAAGTGAAGAAATGGCCGCAAAAAGCACCGACTGGGGTGAGAGCTCGAAATTTTAGAGGCCAAAGTGAATTCCTTATGAGGGTTGATGATTGGCGAGACGGAGGCCGCTTAAAGCGTGCAAGTTAACCTGGCCCTGCCACTTCTTTGAAACGATTCATCAGGGGGGACGTTGCGTTCTGTGAAAGACATGATGCATGGACTGCAAAATCGAAAAAATTGAAATTTCTTATGAGAGATCCTAGAAAGCGAAGGTACACACAGAGGTGGAAATGTGAGCGGATACGGCTATTTGGTGGCGGCGTCCTAAATTCTCGATGGCCCTCACTCATTGTCATAGACAAAGTTGTCCGGGAAGGATGAGGAATATAAGGGTTTAATGGAGTCAGTATTCAGGTAGAGGCGCAGCCTTCTATTAAAGTATGTAGATTATCTGATATTCCTACATTTATTGGAAGGTTAATCCAGAGGAAAGTATATCTGGGACCGAAAAAAGAGAGCGCTTATTGGTGGATGAAGCGGGAGGAAAAATTGCAAAGAATGTACGGGCGACTAACAGGGGCAGGGGTCTGAAATTCGAGGAATATATGAACTATTATTAATGAGAAAGAGGAGACAGAAACCTGCTTCTTGTCTTCGAACCCATAGAAATTTAAGTTTAGTTAGCTGGCATCTATCCGAGTAGGAAATATTTGGATGTGCCATGCTTAAGAGTCTTCTCGCAAAATATCTTCGAAAATTTTCAATTTTGAACGACTAGGCTTGTTCATCAAACCAAAGAATGGACAACAATAGTGGAGAGTGTGACATACAAACATTCGATAAAGTATTAATTGAATTCCAGGAAGATAGAAATTGTGCGAAATAAGGTCACAACTTTGGGCAGCTTTGGCCATAATTCTGTCGGCATGTGGCGAGAGATCTAGATTCAGTTTATGCAGTTTATTTGGTAAGGATAATAGGCAAAGCCTTTGAAAACCCAATTAATTACATGTCAGCTCGTTAGAAATAACTGTACACGAACAATAAAAATATTCGCTATTAAAACAGTACTTGATTCATTCGAATAGCATTGCATCAGAGAAAATATGTGTGGGGACGTGGGGTCTTAGTTCAGATTCAGACTGTCGAGGGAAAACAGGGGACACAAACAATCATCCAAACGTTTCTTGAAGAGTTGCAGAGACGTAGCCTCCACGACTGACTGAGGGAGATCGTTCCATTTCTCCACTACCCTCTGCGTGAAAAATTCAGAACGAAGATTCAGCCTGGACATTGTTCTCCGTAACTTCATCCAGTGACCACGAAGATTGGGTAAGAGGTGCCACTGAAACATGTCCTCAAATTTAAGCCCACGCTGAAGACCATGTGTTATCTTGTAGACGAGGATAAGATCACCTCTTTGTTGCCTGTAACATAGAGGGAATAAATTAAGGCAATTCAGTCTGTCTGTGTAGGGTAGGCTTTTTAGACCATTTACTAGCTTTGTTGCACGCCGTTGTACCCGTTCGAGGCATGCTTGGTCCTTTAATAGCCATGGCCGTCATGCTTGTATGCCATATTCTAAGTGGGGCCGAACAAAAGTGCCGTAAACTCTCCCAAAATGGTCTTGGTCAAAGTTAACGAAAGCACTTTTGATTGTATGCAGCATTCCCATGGCGTTTTTTGCAGCCTTGTGGCACTGCAGTGTTGGTTTCAGGTTGTTCTGTATCCAAACCCCGAGATCCTTCTGTGAAGATTCTGCAGGGTGCCTTATATCTTTTATGTGATATGCCCTCAGGCTCTCATTTGAATGAGAGTTGGTTAGACGCAGATGAAGGATCACACTGTTATGACCCGCCTGGTACGTGAAATCCTGTGGAGCGTATGCGCACTCGACCCTTGTCCCCAATACCAACGCGGCAGAGAAGGAGAACGCGACCGGCCACGAAACTGTGTATTAGGAAATTGCAAGTCAAAATTAACTGGAAGTAACGCGTATTTATAACGCCCTACGGTGCTTCGCCGGCGTTCGGCCCAATGCCCTTCGGGAAGAACATTCGAGACGAGCCGGTCGATGATTCGAATATGCTGATCGATCAGGCCCGAGAGGAAAAGCCAATGGAGAGGCGCCACGAGTAAGATGACAGCGCAGTAGAGAAAACGCACGTGGCCTCACGTGATTGGCTGGCTCTTGTTTTTGGGAGTGTAGGCGCTCCCAACACACACACTTCTCCACATTGAAATCTAGAAGCCAGTTCTTCGAACACGCTTGCAGTCGGTGAAGATTATATTGAAGGGATCTCTGATCATTCGGCCCCTTCATAACTTGCCAGAGCCTAACATCGTCTGCAAACATTATTTTGCAGCAGTCGACTTCCTGAAGGCTGTCGTTAACGTAAAGGATGAAGAGCAATGGTCCCAGAACTGAGCCATGCGGCACACCACTGTCACGATCACCCATTCTGACATATCATCCCCGATACAGACACGTTGGTTCCGACCAACCAGAAACGCCCTAATCCAGTTCAGAAGATCTCCCCGGATGCCGATGACGCTCAATTGATGAAGAAGACGTTGGTGCGGAACAGTGTCAGAAGCTTTGCGAAAATCGATGCACACGACATCGACCTCAAAACCCTCTTCTAGAGCCCTGGCCCAGATCTCCAGACAGGCTAGCAGATTTGAGAGGCAGGAACGTCCTCTCCGGAAGCCATGTTGAAAATCCTGCAAGATGTTATTTTCTTCACAAAACTGCTGTATAGCGCTATTTACTATACCTTCCACGTTTTGCAAGGGAGGCAAGTTAAGCTGTTAGGTCTAAAGCTGCTTGCTGTCATCCTGCTACCTCCCTTATGCAATGGAACGAGGTTAGTTGTCTTCCACTGTGAGGGCAGCCTTTCTGTTCTCATTGACAGCTCAAAGAGAATCGAAAGAGGCTTTGACAGCTCCGTTAATAGCTCCTCAAGTATTAGTCCGGGAATTCCGTCGGGTCCATGAGACTTATCGGGTTTTATTTGACTGAGGACGCGTCTGAATTCTTCGACGGAAAAGGCGACGGTTTCAATGACGGCAATATCTTGGCGCATTTGAAGCTCTTGGCTGTCTCAGTCCATTTCAAACTGCTGATTGTCTTCTAAGGACTCCTCCGTAAAAACCGATTGAAAAAACTGAGACAGTAATCGCACTTTCTGTGCCCTTCAACTAATAGGTTTCCGAGGCTATCCTTAAGACACGCAATTTCGTCCCTATGTTTCCTCCTACTGCGGATGTACCCGTAAAACTTCTTGGGACATGTAATGGATTCTGCTATCAGTCGGCGCTCGAAAGAAGTCCTGGCAACCCGTATTTGTTTGCGGCATTTATTGCGCTGATCCTTATATTCGGCGAATGACCTTGGATCTCGAAGTTGCAAATACATTTTCCACAGTTTCTGTTTCTTCTTCATGGTCTTTTTTGTCGTCGGATTGACCCACGGCGGTCGCGCACATGGTCTTGTCATTTTTATTGGACAATGGGAATCAATTAGACGCTCTATAATCCCGCGAAAGTACTGCCAAAATTCGTCTGAATCTTCTGTGTTGATCAACCAGGTTTCCTCCAGAAGAGTGCGTCTCATTGCGTTAAAGTCACCCTTCAAAATATTTCTGCGCCTATTGATTTTTAGTTGTTGGTTGGATAGGAGAGAGCAAACGCAGGTAAAAGCAATATGATCAGTTAAACCGTGTGGAGATTGTGGATTCACTTCCCTTATGAGTCCTTCTTCTTTACTGAAAACGAGATCTAAACAGTTAGATCGTTGTCCTTCTCTCATTCTCGTTCCGAATTTTATGTGTTGAATGAGGTATTCATTCAGGGAGAGTTGTAGTAGCTTGTGGTCAAATGACGTGGACGGGGCGTTTGTTAGGAGTAGCTTTAACCTATAGTTTTAATGGTAGCACATTCAGTCATAGGTGTGTCTTGAATGACCACTGGTTGGGATAGCTTTTCAGGTCCAAGACACATATAGCGACA